TATCTGTATATGTTGGTGATGTAAGACTAATGTAAATATGACGTCACATATATGTATATAAAGTTTTAGATTTCTATTCCATGTATGTCTGCACAGCTCTATGGATATTGTATTTTGTATTGTTGCTTCCACTAGTCCTCTTAATTATATGTTATTCTGTATAGAGGCCTTTGGTAATCCGAGGATTACTCGCCGATTACGATGCTAAACTTATGGGGGCGGGTTTGGGTCGTGACAAGGACACTCTTTGAAAACATGTTTGCCTTTTGTATCTTTCTTTACATTATCTCTTGTCTTTTAACTATTATTATTTTTTTTTTGATAGATGTAATCAAACACATAATGTAATCATTAGAATAGTTCAATGGGGAAGAGATAGTTATGAAATTTTATTAATGTTATTATGTACTTATTCTCTCTCTCTCTCTCTCTCTCTCTCTCTCTCTCTCTCTCTCTCTTCTATATTGGTTACACCCACATGAGCATATTTGGTTAGGGCAACTTAATTTCTGAGGCGTTACAACATGCATGGGCATTCACCTTATCATTTGGCTAAGATTCATATACTATGTTAGAGCATCTCTACAAGGCTTTGGCTCACCCTATATAGAAAAAAAACTTTCAAGTGTTGATGATATGCCTTCACCAATGACATATCTTGGGAGGACTTGGAGCCAAGGGCATCATTTTTGTTTATTGATGTAATTATTTTTGTTTAAGCCTTTACTTGTATTTAGTTAAACTCATTTTGTTTTACCCAAGTATTGACTTGGAAAGTTGTAACCATTAGGGCATATAATTAGTTGGTTTTATTTTTACTTTAATTTATGTATCCATGGCATATGCTTTAGATTCAAAATCTAGGATTTTTGAATGTATATTGCATATGTTATCTTTTGTATTGATCAAAGTTATGAATGTAACATAAGATATGATGGTGTTGATCATTTGTAAGAAATTTATGAGTTGGATTATTATTATTTATTTTAGGGCGTTACAATAACCATTGAAATTAAAAATAGTAATTACATCATTGCATGTTTTGAAATAAAAAAATTTAAAGAAATAATACTAATATATTATTGACAATAATTAAGAGGATTTAAAAATTAACCAATAATATTTTATATAATATTATACATGGAAGTGTAGATACAAATATATATTTCATACCATAACCATTGAAATTAAAAATAGTAATTACACCATTGCATTTTTTAAATCACAAAATTTTAGAAAATAATACTAATATATTATTGGCAATCACTAAGAGGATTTAAACATTAACCAATAATATTTTTACATAATAACATAGATAAAAGTGTAGATATAAATATAGATTTCATACCATAACCATTGAAACTAAAAATATTAATTACATCATTGCATGTTTGAAATCACAAAATTTAAGGAAATGATATTAATATATTATTGGCAACAATTAAGAGAATTAAAAAATTAACCAATAATATTTGTATATAATACTATAGATAGAAGCATAGATATGGATATGGATTTCATACCATAACCATTGAAATTAAAAATGGTAATTACATCAATACATGTTTTGAAATCACAAAATTTAAGGAAATAATACTAGTATATTATTGACAATAATTAAGAGGATTTAAAAATTAACCAATTATATTTTTATATAATAGTATAAATGGAAGTATAGATATAGATATATATTTTATACCATAAGCATTGAAATTAAAAATAGTAATTACATCGTTGCAGTTTTGTAATCACTAAATTTAAGAAAATAATACTAACATATTATTGGCATTGATTACAAGAATTTAAACATCAATCAATAATATTTTTACATAATAGCATGGATAGAAGTATAGATATAAATATAAATTTCATACCATAACCATTGAAACTAAAAATAGTAATTACATCATTAGAGTTTTGAAATCATAAAATTTAAGGAAATGATATTAATATATTATTGACAATAATTGAGACAATTTAAAATTTAACCAATAAGATTTTTATATAATAGTATAGATAGAAGTATAGATATAGATGTGGATTCCATACCATAATGATTGAAATTAAAAATAGTAGTTACATCATTGTATGTTTTGAAATCACAAAATTTATGGAAATAATACTGATATATTATTTACAACAATTAAGAGGATTTAAAAATTAACCAATAATATTTTTATATAATAATATAGATAGAAGTAGAGATATAACCATGGATTTCATACCATAATCATTGAAATTAAAAATAGTAATTATATCATTGTATGTTTTGAAATCACAAAATTTATGGAAATAATACTAATATATTATTTACAACAATTAAGAGGATTTAAAAATTAACCAATAATATTTTTATATAATAATATAGATAGAAGTAGAGATATAACCATGGATTTCATACCATAATCATTGAAATTAAAAGTAGTAGTTACATCATTGTATGTTTTGAAATCACAAAATTTATGGAAATAATACTAATATATTATTTACAACAATTAAGAGGATTTAAAAATTAACCAATAATATTTTTATATAATAATATAGATAGAAGTAGAGATATAACCATGGATTTCATACCATAATCATTGAAATTAAAAGTAGTAGTTACATCATTGTATGTTTTGAAATCACAAAATTTATGGAAATAATACTAATATATTATTTACAACAATTAAGAGGATTTAAAAATTAACCAATAATATTTTTATATAATAATATAGATAGAAGTAGAGATATAACCATGGATTTCATACCATAATCATTGAAATTAAAAGTAGTAGTTACATCATTGTATGTTTTGAAATCACAAAATTTATGGAAATAATACTAATATATTATTTACAACAATTAAGAGGATTTAAAAATTAACCAATAATATTTTTATATAATAATATAGATAGAAGTAGAGATATAACCATGGATTTCATACCATAATCATTGAAATTAAAAGTAGTAGTTACATCATTGTATGTTTTGAAATCACAAAATTTATGGAAATAATACTAATATATTATTTACAACAATTAAGAGGATTTAAAAATTAACCAATAATATTTTTATATAATAATATAGATAGAAGTAGAGATATAACCATGGATTTCATACCATAATCATTGAAATTAAAAGTAGTAGTTACATCATTGTATGTTTTGAAATCACAAAATTTATGGAAATAATACTAATATATTATTTACAACAATTAAGAGGATTTAAAAATTAACCAATAATATTTTTATATAATAATATAGATAGAAGTAGAGATATAACTATGGATTTCATACCATAATCATTGAAATTAAAAGTAGTAGTTACATCATTGTATGTTTTGAAATCACAAAATTTATGGAAATAATACTAATATATTATTTACAACAATTAAGAGGATTTAAAAATTAACCAATAATATTTTTATATAATAATATAGATAGAAGTAGAGATATAACTATGGATTTCATACCATAATCATTGAAATTAAAAGTAGTAGTTACATCATTGTATGTTTTGAAATCACAAAATTTATGGAAATAATACTAATATATTATTTACAACAATTAAGAGGATTTAAAAATTAACCAATAATATTTTTATATAATAATATAGATAGAAGTAGAGATATAACTATGGATTTCATACCATAATCATTGAAATTAAAAGTAGTAGTTACATCATTGTATGTTTTGAAATCACAAAATTTATGGAAATAATACTAATATATTATTTACAACAATTAAGAGGATTTAAAAATTAACCAATAATATTTTTATATAATAATATAGATAGAAGTAGAGATATAACTATGGATTTCATACCATAATCATTGAAATTAAAAGTAGTAGTTACATCATTGTATGTTTTGAAATCACAAAATTTATGGAAATAATACTAATATATTATTTACAACAATTAAGAGGATTTAAAAATTAACCAATAATATTTTTATATAATAATATAGATAGAAGTAGAGATATAACTATGGATTTCATACCATAATCATTGAAATTAAAAGTAGTAGTTACATCATTGTATGTTTTGAAATCACAAAATTTATGGAAATAATACTAATATATTATTTACAACAATTAAGAGGATTTAAAAATTAACCAATAATATTTTTATATAATAATATAGATAGAAGTAGAGATATAACTATGGATTTCATACCATAATCATTGAAATTAAAAGTAGTAGTTACATCATTGTATGTTTTGAAATCACAAAATTTATGGAAATAATACTAATATATTATTTACAACAATTAAGAGGATTTAAAAATTAACCAATAATATTTTTATATAATAATATAGATAGAAGTAGAGATATAACTATGGATTTCATACCATAATCATTGAAATTAAAAGTAGTAGTTACATCATTGTATGTTTTGAAATCACAAAATTTATGGAAATAATACTAATATATTATTTACAACAATTAAGAGGATTTAAAAATTAACCAATAATATTTTTATATAATAATATAGATAGAAGTAGAGATATAACTATGGATTTCATACCATAATCATTGAAATTAAAAGTAGTAGTTACATCATTGTATGTTTTGAAATCACAAAATTTATGGAAATAATACTAATATATTATTTACAACAATTAAGAGGATTTAAAAATTAACCAATAATATTTTTATATAATAATATAGATAGAAGTAGAGATATAACTATGGATTTCATACCATAATCATTGAAATTAAAAGTAGTAGTTACATCATTGTATGTTTTGAAATCACAAAATTTATGGAAATAATACTAATATATTATTTACAACAATTAAGAGGATTTAAAAATTAACCAATAATATTTTTATATAATAATATAGATAGAAGTAGAGATATAACTATGGATTTCATACCATAATCATTGAAATTAAAAGTAGTAGTTACATCATTGTATGTTTTGAAATCACAAAATTTATGGAAAATTTATTATTTAGCTAAACTTTCTTTTTTGTTTTTGTTTTTGTTTTTGTTGCTTTTTGTGTTTTCTTAGAAGGATATACCAAGATTATTGTGAAGCAATGAACATTCTTTCACTTAGGATCATGGAGCTATTGGGGATGAGCCTAGGAGTGGGCCCAACCTATTTAAGAGAATTCTTTGAAGGAAATGAGTCAATAATGAGATTAAATAACTACCCCCCTTGTCTTAGAGCTCATGATACTCTTGGAACTGGTCCTCACCGTGATCCAAACTCGCTCACTGTCCTTCATCAAGACAATGTTGGTGGGCTTCAAGTGTTTGTTGATCAACAATGGCACTCTATTTTTCCCAATTCACAAGCTTTTGTTGTCAACATTGGAGACACATTCATGGTAAGTACATAAACAAATGTTGAATAACGAAAAGGTTATGAGTAGAAAAATAGTCTAAAAAGTAACCAAAAAGGGCTAAGTTTCCTCATGTTCTAAATTTAGGATGACAATTTTCTCGTCCTCAATGAGAAAGCAAAGCAGGGACGAAGTTTTCTCTCCCGTCTTGCCTATTGTCATCCTTGTTTCTCTCATCCAAAACGCTTATAGTCATTGGATCATGTGAGGGTTCAAAAATCTCGAAACGTATCTAATAGTTATAGATGTTTTGGGATGGGGGACACCAATATTTAGAAACAAATGATCTCGTCTTCAAAAATTGTAGTAATAAACGAACACACAAATATGTTGAATTTAGATACAGAGTTATGTGACACCATTAAAATGACATTTAATTATATGACATCTAATTATTTGGTAATTTTTTTATATATAAAAAACTATTTTTGAATAGAATTTGTATTCATAATACAATCTATACAGAATGATGTGGCAATAATATTTTTGTAAATCTGGCTACAATGATGGGCGTTTTCTCGTCAAATGAAAGGATTGCAAAATGTCGTATCATTCTGTATGATTTTGTTTTTCTTACAAATTGTATTTTATAATATCGCTACAAGAAAAAAAAGAAAAACATATTTGGCGACCAAGGTATTTTTTCATCGCCAAAGATGACTTTAGCGACCATTTTTCTGACTTTATAACATTGTTGAATGATTGACATGGCAATGTATTCTTTGTCATCTAATCCCTTTGTCTTTATGTGTCAATGTACTTTCCTTAACTATTGAATCATATGAGAATCTCGAAATATAATTCAATAATTGAGGATGTACTGAGAGACGAACATTAAAATTTAGGGATAGAAGACCTTGTGTTCAATGTTAGTGATGGTTTCAAAGAGCTAAGGATAAACTTGAATTTAGAAACAGTGGACCATGTGTTCAATCATGTGAAAAACTCAAAATGTATGAGAATCTTATTAAACTTTTTCTAATGAAGTTTATTAGCATAAGCTTGAATTTTAATGCATAAAAGTTTGAAAATGTTTCAGGCTCTATCAAATGGAATTTACAAGAGTTGCTTGCATAGAGCAGTGGTAAACAAACAAGTTCCAAGGAAGTCTCTGACCTTCTTTTTGTCTCCAAACATGGACAAAGTGGTGAGTCCACCTAACGGATTGGTCAATAGTCATAACCAAGGATATATCCAGACTTCACTTGGCCAACTCTTCTTGAATTCACTCAGAAGCATTATAGAGTTGACATAGATACCATTGATGTCTTCTCAAATTGGCTTCAATGCAAAACCAACTGAAGAGAGTCCAAGAAAAGTACTAGAATCTTCACATTTTTTATTTATTTATTTATTTTTACAGTGGTGATATGTGCTTGGAAAAAATACTCAGCTTTAAATTTAATGTGGTGTGAATTTAAATAAAAATGAATTTAATATATGCATTTTATATTTTTTCCAATATATATATATATATATTATGAAAGTCCTTAGTTTGGCAATCTTCAAACAACCTATTTGGCTAAAAAGGAGTTAAATATAAAAAGTATGTTTTCTTTGACTAAATAATAAGTGATTTCTTCTTAAATAAATACCTTTTTTTTTTTAATTGTATTTAGTTGTCTAATTTATATAATCCTTAGAATATTTGTAAGAGAAACTTTAACTATACTCTTCAATTTTAAAAAAAAAGATAATTTTTTTATTTTGTCTAATTTCTTTTGTCATTTATGTACTCCAACGCTACTATTTATTTCAACCTATCTATACACACAAATTGTTTAAAGAGCCTTCTAAGGCTCTTCAAATGTCGCTAACTTTGACGAATTTTGTTAAAATCATTATTGTAATAGCTAGCCTGTTGAAAGGACTAAAATATGATAATGCTAACTTTAATAGCTAACATGCCTCATTTAAAGAGTCCATTGGAGATGCTATACATAATCTCATATTGATTGACAACAATAAAACAAAAATTATGAATAAAATGCATTCAAGTTTGGCTTATTTACTTTTTTCAGATGATTTGAATCAAACTTAAACTATATATAATCAAGTCGAGTCAAGTTAAGTTGTAACGCCCCAAAAATAATCAACAATAGATAATTCCACAAAGTAAGCTAAATGTGCAAAAAACCAATAATGTTTCGTTCTTTCATTAACTCTCTTGAAAATATTACAAAAGATGTCACGTACAATTATACATTCATAAATCCTAGATTGTGAATTCGTAGCATGTGACTTATATCAATGCAGGGAAACGAAAAGAAATACACATAGGTTCATGCCTTAATGGCTACATATTTCCAAGTTGATGCTTGGTTACAATTAAAATGGGTCAAGCCCAAAACAAATAAAAAGCTTGAGGCTTGTACAATAGATATTTACAACAAAAGAAAAGCAAAATGAGCCTTCAGCTCCACTATCCTCCCAAATTAAGTCCTTGGCGGAGGCATACAATCAGCACCTAAAAGTTGGTTCCACATAGGGTAACTAAAGCCTAGTAGAGAATACTTGAAAACACTGTATGATGCTTAACATAGTCATATTGTCACGACCCCATTCCGCCCCTAGTAGAATGGTGCCGTGATGGCCAGTAATCCGAGATTACCAAAGACCAACTTACAAGAATTCACACACAATCAGAGTATATATATGGGGCTAACATGTGCGGAAGCAATAAATTTAGATCTAATTAGTCCGTAAGAGCTGTGCATAAGTCAAATGAATTGGCATACATCTTTACATAGCTTTACAACTTGGGTACAATAAAATGAAGTACAAAAATATATATTGACCAAAAGGCTTCGCAAGCCATCATATACAAAACACAATGAATTACAAGCTAAGAAGCATGATCTTCAAGATGCTACAAAATGCGAGTCCAAAACAAGTTGCAAAGCACATCTAGGCGTCACCGCCGTCCTGCTCATCACCTACATATATATAGAGAGGGTGAGCTTGGATACTCAGTGAATAGTACAAGTAATAAAGGGTTTGCATGAATAATATCCGAGATCTTTATCAAAGCGATACACATTATATCTTGCACAAAATCAAAGACAAAACAAGTTCATCTAACAAGTCTTTCAAGCTTCATCAATCAAAGTCTTTCAAGGCTTTCAAGTTTTAAGGGATGACATTTATAAAGGTTGTGCCACAAATACTTATAGTCCCCTAGCACGTACGGACTTTCAAAAGTTGTGCTACAAATGCTTATAGTCCCCTAGCACGTACGGACTTTCAAAGGTTGTGGTCCAAAACAAGGCTAACACTTGATACACAAAATAGGGACAATCATTCATGCTTAACAAATACTTTTCAAAACAAAGCAAAGCTTTATCAAAACTTTATAACATAGCTTTATTAAAAATACCACTCACATAGTTCTTCAATGTCGGGGTCAAGCGCGAGTCTAAGTCCTACAAACACATGGCAAAGTCTATTGAATGCACTTTCAAACAAGCTTTACATGAATGCAAATGATCTTGGCATTCCTTCAAAACTAAGTCGAACCAAAACAAAACACTGTTCGTCATCTCAGGAAAACATAATGGGCACCAACCAGATCTTGGCCGAGGTCCCACACCTCGGCAAGAAGGTATGGTCCCGATGGCCGCATTCAAGGAAATGAAGTCGAGAAAATCTAGGTTTCCCTTTTTTGAAGAACATGAACATGAAGAACATGGATGCAAAGATCATAACTTATCATTACAAAATCTGAGATTTCATGCTATGAATTCAAAAACATGGACCTTGGTACCCATACTCGAAGATTTCATGAAAACAAACACAAAAACAAGAATCTCGATGCAAGCTTTCGGATCAAACAAGGCTTCTATTCAAGAACACATGAATATCACTTTCTCTTTCTAAAACCAAGCTTTAAATTGATCCATGGTTTGCAAATCAGGCTCGATCATGCAATGCAGCTAGATGATCAATAAGAACAACAAGAGTAGATTAAGATTCTAACCTCAAGACACGAATCTAACGGCTCAAGGTGTGAAGATCAAGCTTGGAAAATCTATCCCTCCTCTAAGAACTCCTCCCTCTTCCAGAGCTTCTCTCTCCTCAAGAACAAAGACATATAGCAAATGATACATTTCTAGGTCTGCTGGCTGACTTAACACTCAGCTAGGACACGTGGCAACGGCTGGTTAGCTCTACTGAAAAAGGTGACTGAGTGAAAAGACAAGACCATGACAAAGTGTGTTCTACAAGCAAGATGGCACAGGCACTCCGACAGGTAATGATCTCGGCTAATGAACAAGCATCGGCAAGTAGGGGAACAATGATCTCGGCTAGAAAGGACAACACTTGACTAAGCTGTGCCACACCTTGGCCTAGATGTGCCACACCTCGGTCTAGGTCATACCACTCCAGGACAAGATCACTTAGGTGCGAAGGTAACATCTCGGCCTAGATAATACACATCTCGGCCTTGGTGATGAACACCTCGGCCTAGATAATGACATCTCGGCCAATATGTCAGGGCGAAGGTGGAGGTCAAACAAAGTGGTTACAAGATAATTCTAGACTGAAGATGACCTCGGCTAGACTCACACCAAGCAAGGTACAAAACATGCGAGAAACACTTAAGCAAACAAATCAAGGTTTTGCAAAAATGCAACATATCAAGACAAGATCGTGTAATATATGCAAGCATGACTAGAGTAGAGTGAGGGTTGTTACATCCTACCCTCCTTAAAGAAGTTTGGTCCCCAAACTTAAATTACCTTGCTCTACAAATAGCCCCGGATGACGGATTTTCATTTCTTCTTCCATTTCCCATGTAGCATCCCTGTTGTAATGCTCTTCTATTCAATTTTCACCATTGGTATCGATTTGTGTCTCAACTGTCTCACTTGTCTGTCAATAATTCTCATCGGCTTCTCCTCGTGGCCTAATTCTTCATTAACCACAATCCCGGAATAATCAATTACATGTAGTGGATCCCGAATATACTTCCTCAACATTGAAATATGGAACACATTGTGAACTTGACTTAGTTCCGGTGGAAAAGCCAGTCTATAGGCAGCTGGGCTGACCTTCTCAAGTATTTCAAACGGCCCGATGTAACGAGGTGCTAACTTACCTTTCTTCCAAAATCTGGAAGTTCCTTTCATTGGTGAAACCTTCAGGAATACATGATCCCCAACTTCAAATTCCAACTCTCTTCTTCTCTGGTCGGCATAGCTCTTTCGTCGACTTTGAGCAGTTTTGATTCTTTGTCGAATGAGCTTAATCTTCTCGGCTGTAACTTGAACTAGCTCGGGGCCAATCAAAGCTTTATCTCCCACTTCAGTCCAACATATCGGCGATCTGCACTTCCTTCCATACAAGGCTTCGTACGGTGCCATGCTAATGCTAGCTTGGTAACTGTTGTTGTAAGCGAATTCTACCAACGGTAGATGTACTTCCCAACTTCCCTTGAAATCTAACACACATAGTCTGTAACATATCTTTAAGCGTCTGAATCGTTCTTTCTATTTGTCCATCGGTCTGGGGGTGAAAAGTTGTGCTAAACTTCAACTCGGTTCCCAAGGCTCTTTGTAAACTCTGCCAAAATCTGCAAACAAACTTCGGATCTCGGTCGACATCGGCACTCCATGAAGTCTCACAATCTCATTCATATACAATACAGCAAGTCGGTCAGCATTGAATGTGGTTTGAACAGGTAAGAAGTGTGCTGACTTAGTTAATCTGTCAACGACAACCCAAATCGAATTCATGCCCTTCTATATCTTTGGCAAGCTAACAACAAAATCTATGGAGACGTGCTCCCATTTCCACTCAGGGATTGGCAAAGGTTGAAGAAATCCTGCTGGTCTTTGATGTTCTGCTTTCACTTGTTGACAATGTAAGCACTGAGACACGAACTCGGCTATTTCTCTTTTCATATTCGGCCACCAAAAAGTTTGTTTCACATCTTGATACATCTTAGTGTTCCCTGGATGAACAGCAAATCTAGAACCATGAGATTCCTGCAGAATCTTCCTTTTCAACTCTAGGATGTCGGCCACGCACAATCTTCCTTCAAACTTAAGTACCTGATCTTCAATAGTGTACCCTGACCTCGGCTTAGTGACAATCTCATCGGCAACTTTCTTGAAGAATCCGTCTTCACTTCCTCTATAACGGTCGGCTCCACTGAAATCATGGTTAAGCATGCCAGACTTCCAACTGATTTTCTGCTCAATGCATCGGCTACTAAGTTTGCTTTACCTGGGTGATACTGAATTTTCATGTCGTAGTCTTTTAATAACTCAAGCCATCTTCTCTGCCTCAAATTTAATTCC